AGTATTGAGGGTACCATGGACTGCTAGGAAAACAAACAGATTCATCCTGGAAAGGGTTAAACCAGGTGGCTCCTTGGAAGCAAGGATTCTGAGGCTCCATCTAACATACTTTGGACATGTTGTGCGGAGAGACAGTTCCTTGGAGAAGAACATCATGCTTGGGAGGGTGGAGGGACAGCTCAGGAGGGGAAGACCCTCTATGAGGTGAATTGATTCAGTTACTGGGTTAATTGGGATGGAAGTGTCAGAGCCTGTGCGATTGGCACAGGACAGAGCAGAGTTTAGGGCTGTTGTACCCTGGGTCGCTATGCTTCGCAAGCGACTCGACAGCACATAGCAACAACAAGAACAACATATAAGTGTAATCAACCCAAACTATTTCACTATTGGGAAACTCTTCCCTCTTGGCTGGAAAAGTAACTTAGGTCCTTTCTAAATGCAATTTAAAGTTTTCCAGAATCACAGATATCCGAGGTGAGTATTTGATGGGACAAGAAAGTAGGATAGATAAGACTGGACTCTTGTCCCATTTCTGCATCTTCTACATTTATCACGTCCATGACATTGAGCATGCTATGCTGCCCTTGTTTTCAAATAGAGTAAATGTCTAGCAGAGAATTGATTCCTATTTTTTTTACATTTTGCTAGTCATCTATAAACTAGTGTTTTTCATATCTAGTTCTGTTTCAGTTTTGCCACGATTTAATTAGGAGGGGAATCTCCTCCCTTGTGATTAACTGCCTCTAAAAATGAACTGAAGGGTCGGCTATGGGTCAGGTTAGACTCAATGGTACTCAACAAAAACATTTATAAGCCCTAGATTAAATCATCTTTGGCATGTTGTGACTTTCCTATTTATCTCAACTCTACAGCTGGTGATTAGCAAATACTATAGCATAGGATAGAACAGAATGCCTGACTCCAACCCACTCCTAGAAAGTAGGACTTGTATATTCCTACTGAGAACATGTACAGAAATGAAAAGGAAGAAGAATATGAAAGGCATCCAAAATATCTTGAAGGTGTCCTAAAAATGGGATCCAATGTATCTTTTCATTAAGTGTTCTTCTGTTTTTATGATTTTCTTTCAAAAGTGCTAGTTTGTGTAGGTAGGTAAAGAGGTAAGAAAGATATGTTTATCAGTATGTTTCTTTTTTAGAAGATTAAAGTGTCTCTATAATACATTCATTGTTTGTTTTTGTTTGTTTTTGTTACATTCATTGTTTTTAAGGAAATGGGATAGAGTGTGACCTACAAAAGTTTTACAACTGTGTTTCTCCTGTACTTGGTAAGTAATTTAATACTTATTTTTAAATTTTTTTCAGTATTTTTATAACGGTATCTAAGAATAATAAGATTAAATCATATTCCATATAACCTGTTGTTAAGTGCCATCAAGTCGAGCACAACTCCTAGTGACAGTATGAACAAAAGACCTGAACACTGGTTCTATAGCTATCATCATTCCTCCAAGTTTATAGAGTTTCCATAGGCATGTGGTTTAGGAAGTGGATGCCACTCCTGCTTCCAAACCTGAATCAATCTGGAAGCTCCACCAGACACTGTTCACCGTGGGTAACCATTATGGCATTTGACACACTAGTGGCACAGCACTCAGCATCACAGCAACCGCAAGTTACTTCAGTACAGCAAATTGATAGACCAGTGCTGTACCACTTCATCCAGGGGAGCTCTGGTGGCCTAGTGGAAAAAAGCTGCACTGAAATCCCAGAGGTGCATGGTTCAAATCCACCAGATGCTGTGCTGGAGAAGGAGGGGCAATCTCCTCCTATACTAGTCAAATCCAATTTGACGGTACACACACAAAAAAATAATAAAATTAAAAAATATTAAAAAAATATTCATCCCAAACACAACACCAGGCCCCAGGGCCCTTCCACCTTTTAAATACAAGGTCAGTCCACCAGGTCCTTGTTGGCTGTAATCTGAGAGACTTCCAGCCCACAGTTCATTGTTAGCTAAATCCAACAAATCCAATCAGCTCACACCTGATTGTGAACAGAAAAAAAAAAAACAAAAAAACACCACCTAACCAAATAGCCCACACCCAACCCTCACGGAGACAAGAGAAACCATCTTCCAGAATCCAACCACTTAGCTAACTAAACACACACACACACACACACACACACACACACACACACACACACAGAGTTATTTGCTGTTACCAAGTTGAGTACAACCTTATGAACAACAGATCTGACACTGTCCTACCCTGTGCCATCCTCACACTGTTTGACATACTCAGGTCCCTAACAGCAATCACTGTGTCAGTCCATCTGGTTGAGGATTCAGTACTCTTCTCTAACACCACAATTCAAAGACATTAGTTCTTTTTCTGTCATCCTTATTCACTGTTCAATATAGATTGCATCTCAAAATCAAGAAAACAAAAATCCTCACCATTGGACCGATAGGCAACATAATGATAGATGGGGAAAAGATTGAAACTGTCAACTACTTCATCTTACTTGGATCCACAATCATTACACTTGGGACCAGCAGTCGGGAGATTAGGAGACATACATAATACATTGGGAAAGTCTGCAATTGGGGATCTCTCCAAATTATGGAGGAGCAATGTTAGTTTGAGGACTAAGATACACCTAATTCAGGCCATGTCTAGTGTAATTTGCTTTCATTTCCATTAGTTTGTTATGTAATGTCTCAGCAGCAGGGAGCATCTTCATGTGACAAAGTAAAACTGCACCAAGTCATATCCCACAGAACTGAGTTCAAACAATCAACCTTTAGATTAGTACCTGAGAAGTCTACTAAATTATCCTAAAATTAAAAGAATAGCTTTTATAGCCCTAGATAGAGACTAACAAGCAAATAAGAACAAATAAAACAAACCATAAGTTCAAGACACAGCATAACCAAGTAATAGTAAAAGCTTTCAATTTTTTATATCTAAATAACAGACGTTTTTTTCTATTTTTAAAAAAGTTAATAATAAAAATAATATTGTTTTCTTATGATACCAAGTAAAACATTTTTGTGAAAACTGTAGACTGCAGCTACAAAAAACTATTAAAATTTAATAAATATTACAGTACTCTAAAAATTAATCTTTAATTTAGGTGACCATCCCTTTAGACATTCATTTTTAATAAATATATTACGTTTTTTATTTTAAATTTTTATTTCAGTAAAGTTTTTACAAATCATTGGTTTTTCATGCAATCATTCACTGACATTTTGTTTTATAACAATTACTGTTGATAAATGCAATTAATTAATGATAGCGTTTCATTAACCCCTTATGAAATATTACCCTTCTGTTCACATAATTTATCTGTTTTATTAATTTTTACTACTCTATTCCTACCTTTCTATTCCACCAGGATTGATTTTGTTTGTAAACATTTCTTTAGCATTTTATGAAAGTGGTCTTATACCGTAATTATTCTTTTGTGACTCACTTGAGTCACTCAGAAAAATCTGTTTTAGATTTATCTATGTTACTATCCTTTTTAGTAGTGTATAATACTCTATAATGCTTTAAATATAATTCTTAAATATATCATAAATATAATTCTTTAACATTTATCCATTAACAGACACATGGATTTTTTTTACAACACTTTACTGTTTTAAACAGTGTGTATGTTGTGTCTTCGATCTTATTTCCTTGTTATATACTTAATAACTGGATTGTTGTCATTGATTGCCATTGTGTTGAGCATGACTCATTGTGACCCTGTAAACAAAAGGCCTGAAGCCTTTCTATAAAGATCCTCATTCATCAAAGTTCATAGGGTTTCCTGAGGCATGTTGTTTAGGAAGTGAATGCCATTTCTGCTTCCAAGTAACTGGATTACTGAATCATGAAATTTCTTTACATAGTAGTTGTACCATTTTACTTTCTAATCATCATTATATGAGAGTTCTAATCTCTTCCATTTAAACACTTTTTTGGAGCCTTTTTCAATTAGTATTTTTAATTGAGATTTTAATGAAAGTTTACAGAGAACTTGCAGTATTTGTCCTTTAGTGACTGAGCTATTTCACTCAGCATAATGTCCTCCAGGGTTACCCATTTTGCATATATTATGAGTTTCTTGTTTTTTTCCGTGCTGCATAGTATTCCATTGTGTGAATAGACCACAGCTCCTCTATCCATTTATTGATGGGCACTTGAGTTGTTTCTATCTTTTTGCAATTGTAAACAATACATCAGTAAATAAGGATGTGCATTTATCTGTTTGGGTGGCAGTTCTGATTTCTTTAGAGTATATACTCAGTAGTGGAATTGCTGTTTCAAATAGTATTTCTATTTCAAACTTTTTGGAAAAAAAAACACCATACTGCCTTCCATAATGGATGTACCATTTTACACTTTCACCGACAGTGGATAAGGGTTCCAGTTTCTCCACAACCTTGCCAGCCTTAGTTGTTTGCTGCTCTGTTGAATTTTGCTGTTGTTGTTGGAGTGAGATGAAATCTCATAGTTGTTTTGATTTGCATCTCAGAGCTAGGGATTTTGAATATTTCATCATGTGTTTGTTTGCCATCTTAATGTCTTCTTTGGTGAAAAGTCTGTTCATATCCTGTGCCCATTTTGTGATCCAGTTGCTTATCTTATTGTGGTGTAAACAGTTTTCTTAACTTAAAAAAGAAAAACCGTGACTGTGTGCGATACATACTTCTTTTTAAGCAATAAACTTTTTCAATATTTAAATAACTTAATTGCCAAATAGTTTTATTCTTCAAGTATAATCAGCTACACTTCTGTCCAAAATATAGCATTATGATGCCTACAATATAAATCTTTAAAAATTTGGTTTCAGACTAGGAAGTATTGGTCATCCATTTCCAAAATAACAGGCCTCTAAAACTGATGTACAATAGAGCACACTTGAGTAGACTAGCAGATATGGTATACATATTCTATTCTAAGAAATGTAACTGGTGACTATGCAAATGGATTTCACCTGAAGGTACTCACAAGAATTAAATCAATTACATCTGTGAAAGGGAGCTCTGGTGGCCTAGTGGCAAGAGGCTACACTACAATCCCAAAGGCATGTGGTAGGTGCCCCCAGCTGCTCCTTAGGAGAAGGACGGGCAATCTCCTCCTGTGTGATTAACTGCCCATGAAAACCCACCAGAGGGTCAGCTATGGGTCAATTCCTACACTATGGTACACAAAACAACATCTGTTGAAAGAATCATTGGAAAAACTCCCTATCAGCTGTGAAAACTAGGCCACATGCCTACTACAAAACAGACCATCAACTACTTATATGCAAGCTCAAACTAAAAACTAAGGAAGGTTAAATCAAATCCACAGGAACCAAAATTCTACTTTGCGTCTATCCCACCTGAGTTTAAAAACCAACTCAGAAACAGATTTGATGCCTTGAACACTAATGAATGAAGTTCAGATGAACTGTGGGAGAAGATCAAGAATATGATCCACAAAGAATGCAAAAAGTCATTACAAAGACAGAAGAGGAAAAAGAGGCAAAGATGGATGTCAAAAAATACTCTGAATATTGTGCTTGAGCCAAAGCGGAGGCAAGAAAAAAAGGAGTTAAGGAGCTGAACAGAAGATTGCAAAAAGTAGCTCAGGAAAACAAAAGAAAATGCTATAATGAATTCTGCGAAGAGCTGGAGTTGGAAAATCAAAATCACTCGACACTTCTTAACCTAAGTGAACTGAAGAAAAAATTCAAGCCTCAAGTTGCAACACTTAAGGATGCTATGGGCAGACTCTTAAAGGATCCAGGAAGCATTAAAAGAAGATGGAAAGTACACAAAGTCACTGTACCAAAAAGAACTATCTGACATAGAAGAATTTCATGAAATAATATATGATGAAGAGGCAATGGTGATGAAATTCATGCTGCTCTGAAGGATTTGGCAAAAAACAAGGCCCCAGGGATTTATGGAATACCAATTGGCATATACCAACAAATAGGTGCTGCCCTGGACATACTCACCAGATTCTGTGCCAAGAAATCTGGAGGACCTTGCCAACTGACTAGAAGAGATTCCTATTTCTTCCTATTTCCAAAAAACGTGACCCAACAGAGTGTGGAAATTATAGAACAATATCACTGATATTACACACAAACAAAACCTACTAAAGAATATCCAAAACAAGTGGAACAGTACATTGAAAACTTCCAGAAATACAAGCTGATTTTAGAAGGGGCCGTGGCACTGCAGACATTATCGCCAAAGTCAGAGGGATCCTGACTGAAAGCAAAAGGTACTAGAGCAAAAATGTACTAGAGCAAAGAGTGCTGTGTTTCATTG